AAAATAAGTGGACTTTGAACTTTGCCATTTCGTTTTTGTGTGTTCAATGAAAACTGTTCATTGCTTTTCCTTAAAAGTTTTCAGTAATTAAAAAGTGACTCACCAGGGCTACGGCGGTTGGCTACTAAAAATACCCAAAGTAAACACTTGTGATTTAGACTGTGGTTTCAGCTGCGGCTCTGTGCACACAGTGTTTACATTCTGCGAATTGAAGACTTCTTCTCCTCGCTTTTCACCACATTATTGTGTAGACTAAATCAAATTCCTGTGCCATGAAAGCAGTGTTCATTTAATCAATCAAGCACGCCAAAACCAAAGCAAACGCCAAAATCATTCGCCTGCTCAAGTTTGTTCGAGTAGGTTGAAAAGTTTTTAGAGTTTTGAAACCGCAAAAAGTCAAGTCATGTATCCGCAAGCTGTGGTGTACATCGATCAGCCGAATCCACCCGGTTTCTTCATCTGCCAGAAGTGGACCATCGTCGTGTTAAACGCCATTCCCGCCGCCATTATTGCCTTCTGCCTGTTAATTGCACTCTTTGGAGCGCTCTTTACTCTAAGTGCAGTTAAAGTAAGTTGTGGCTTGGAAAGATAGTGTTCAAGTTGTTCCTACGATCCCTTTTCTCTCCTACTTTTATTTCTTTCAGTTAGTCTTCTTCCTCTTCTTTTGCTTCCTCATCCTGGGCTACTTCTACTGCGGCATCGTCGGCGCCTGCCAGGAGAATGAACGCCTCTTTCAGGTGTACCTCGCCGTCAACATCCTCGGCACCGTGCTCTACATTGCCGGCGCGGTGTACCTTCTGGTGGCGATGAACTCTTTTGAAGGTAGCAGCAGCAGCAGCAGCACTAGAAGAAAGTGGGAGGGAAGCTTCAGTTTTGAGAATGATGATGCTGGTGGTGTTGGTGTTTTCAGTTATGATGGTAGCTTCCTGCGTGAACAAAAACTCAATATCATCTCTTCGGTGGTGGGCGACATCGGCTGGACGGCGTTTCTGGTCGTCTTTGCGTGCAGTCTTCGTCGGTGGAATCAGCAGAAGGCAGACTTCAATACTCAGATGATGATCGGTAGAAGGTGCTGAGGTAGTGGACACTACGGATCACCTCAAACTACTTTGCCGCAACTTACCGAAAAAATTTTTGTGCTTGCCATTGAAAATTCAGCAGGTTCTCCTCTTTGTTTCTTCTGAGCCAGTAAAAAGTGGTTCATCAGAGCAGCTGGCTAAAAATAGCCAGCTTTGGTTCACTCAGTCATTCGCCGCTGCTGCCGCATTTGTTTACTTTACAACATTTTTGCTTTTTGCTTTTTTTCTCGTGAAGCTTCGGCTCAATCATTTCAGCAGTCAGTTGAAGCAGTCACCAGCTGCTGCTGCCAACAGCCCTGATGAACAAAAGAACAAGTCTGTTTCACCCAAACTATGAGTCATCCTCATCTGCCGCATCATCATTTGCAAGAAAGGCAACCCACACGCAGTTGTCACCCGGTGACCGTTGCCCTGGTGACCTGTTGCACTGCCCTCCTCACTCTTCTCTTTATGATCTACCCGTCAAACGTTGACAGTTACGGTTCAATTGTAAAATAATATACTGAGATTGCTATTACCACACACTGTTTTCGTAACGATTAGTGATAATAAAAGTCCGCTTTTTAATCCCCCTCTCTTTCCATTTTTGTTGACTGTACCTTTTCGACTTTCCACTCATCATTTACAACATCATCGGCATGGTCGGTGCAGTTGGGCAGTAAAGTCCACTGTATCAGTGCGGTGTACCTGGTCTGCGCACTGCTTCACCTGGTGTACTTCAACCTCGAGCTAATGATCAATGGCAGCATGATGATAACCAATTTTAAAATTAAGAGCAGCTCTAGAGTCTTTGTCGTCATTTTCGATAGCTTCAGCTTAGGGTGGCTGCTCTTTGTGGGCGTTTTACTGTTTAGGATCAGAGAAAAAGAGTAAAGCTGACACAGTGATCGGTGTAGAACTTCTTCTACAGTAGAAGGGTTTTTTTAAATGCAAGTGTGTGGGCCTTGTAGCTTACTATTGATCTCACTATAAAACATCTGCACAGGTGTGAATACTGCTCGCTTAACTAAACTTTTCTATTCTATTCTTTTTTTTGATCCGGTGAAAACATGGTTGGTCTGCAGCAGCTGTGCACTTTTAATAAAAACTTGTACATCATTCCATCTAGAATCTGTTGCTTTGACTGCTCTTCTGTTTATATGTTCTTCAATTAATTACAACTTTTCTCCTCATCTTTTACATCCTGTACATTACACACATTGTTGCGTAGACTAAAGCAAAATCCCTGCCAAAATCGAGCACATTGTGTGCATTTTTTCATGTGTAGTGTAGTGCTTGTTCAATCTTTCAAGTAAACGCCGATCATTCGCTCACTTACCCTTGTCTAACCAGGTTGATCGACGCTTAAAAATCTTTAAAAAATAATCAAAAAATCATGCGTCGTCCCCAAGCTGTGATGAACACCAGTGATCAGGCGCCTCAACCGCCGGCCTTCTTCATCTGCCAGAAATGGACCGTCATCGTGGTGAACTCCATTTCCGCTTTGGCCGCTGCAGTCTACCTGTTAATTGTCCTCTTTTTGGTAGTGCTGTCTGCTCGATCTGGATTTGGATCAGTGGTAAGTGGGCGGAAGGATTGTTGTTGTTGTTGTTGATTAGGTTCCCTCTTATTCCACTTTTCTTCTTTCTTTAGTTATTATTCCTCGTCACTTGCTTTCTCATCCTGGGCTACTTCTACTGCGGCATCGTTGGCGCCTTCAAGGAGGATGAGCGCCTCTTTCGAGTGTATCTCGTAGTCAACATCATTTGCACCTTGCTCTACGTTGCCGCCGCGATTTACTATCTGGAGGTGATAAACATCAGTGAAAGGAAGTGGGCGGAAGTGAGTTCTAGTGTCCGTTTTGAAGAGGAGGATGATGCTGATGAAGCTTATCGTGATGAGTTTGAACGTGCACTCCGTGGGACGAGACTGCAAATCATCCTCTCGCTCGTGATCAACATCGCCTGGACGGCTTTTCTTGCCGTCTTTAAGTGCAACCTTCGCCGGTGGAATCGGCAGAAGGCGGGAGGCTCAAGGATTGGTCAGCTGAGGTACTACTGACCTCAATTTTGAATTTTTACTTTGCCGCATTATTGAGCTACTTTTTTGCTGTGCTTGGCAATGAAAAACTTTCAGCAAATTCCCATTTCTTTGAGCCAGTGAAAAGTGGTTCCTCACCAGAGCTGGGGGCTAAAAATAGTCAGCGATAGTTTCAGTCAGTTTTTCGCCACCGCTTCTTTTGTTTACTTTACAGCGTTTTCCCCCGTTTTTGCAGCGCAGCACTTTTTTTCCTGTGAATTGAATTCAGTTCAACCGGTGCAATCACTTCAGCAGCCAGTTGAAGTTGGTCTGCCAGCTGTTGCTGCCAACAGCCTCGTCGAACAAAAGACCAAGTCTGAGTTCAACAGAATTATGAGTCAGCCGCATCTGCCGCATTATCTGCACCAAAGACCACCATCAACCCACCACTGCTTGCGCAACTGTCAACAGGTGACCATTGCCCTGGTGACCTGGTGCATTGCCCTCCTCACCATTATCTTCATGATCATACAGAAAACCACTATTGATCGTAATGGCTTTATCGTAAGCTTCGGAGTTATTAAAACCTTAAAACTTGCACGATATTAATAAACTGTGCTACTTTTTACTGCCCATTCCCCTCAACACTTTCGTTGTTGACAGTACTTTCTCGACTTTCCACTCATCATCTACAGCATCATCGGCATGGCCGGCGCAGTCGGCAGAAATGTCCAATGTCTGGCCGTCTATCTGGTCTGCGCACTGCTGCACCTGGTGTACCTCAACCTGGAGCTGATGATCAATGGCAGCATGATGATGATCGTCAACTTTGAGATTGAGGGTCGCGGCTCTAGAACGTCTGTCGCCCTCTTTTTCAATGGCTTTTGCCTGAGTTGGCTGCTTTTTGTAGGCGTCTTTCTGTTTCGGATCAGAGAAAGGTGTGATGAGTAAAGGTGACACACTTTTGTGTAAAAGTGTTTATAATTGCAAAAATGTGTTTCGTTTTTGTTTGGTGGATTGCTCAATTATATCGGCAACAGCAGTAGCAGCAGACGAGCAGTTGAGCACTGCCAGTGCGTTGTCTAGGAGCTTTTCAATGGGGCGAAAAGTGTTATCATTACGATTATCACCGTCATCATGCTCATCATTTCGATGATTGCACCTGAAAACCTCTCACATCCAGCCAAAGTTAATTGTCCATGTCTGTTGGCCTTGTTGTTGGTGGTGGCGCGGTATCCAGGACAAAAACAGTGATTCAGTGTGGTGCGCAGTTGGCGTTTGCAGAGTTTCATCACGAGACGAGGAGATATAGTCATCGATGTCATCGTTGTCGTCGTTGATGATGATGATGGTAATCAGAGTTTCGAGGGGATGAGTGCCGTTTGACATTCATCTGATTCTTCCGAACTGACTGTTGCTATTACTAACCATTACTTTGCCAAATCGGGTCTCCCAATTACATAACATAAAATCGGCAGATTAGAGCAGCAGAACGGTTTCAGCTGTCGAGTCGACAGTGTCGACCAACAATTTGAACTGGTGAATCACCACCACCGCCACCAGCACTTTCACCATTACCAGTTACTGTCTTCTCGAGAGAGGCAGCAGTAGCAGCAGCATCAGCCCATCACCCTCTGTGAAGACTATCACCACCACCATCAGCAGCATCTGGCTTTGTTTATGTTTAGGGTGCACTGAAGAAACTGACACTCTAAGGACATCATTAGAGCGAGCGTTGGGAGTTGAGAGTTCAGAGAGAAATCTTTGGTGGTTAGAGAGAACTCGAAAGTGACACTCTTGCTCTTTCAGTCGTCCACCGACAGGCCTGGTGAGTGGTCGATCACCACCAGCAGCACCACCACCACCACTGCAAACAGTACCATTCCACTACTATCTTCATTCCAACAAGGAATCACCACCGAGATGGATGAAGAGGACAAGTACAACTTGGTGGTAAGTACCCGATTTTTTGTCTACACTTTGCGAGATGAAACTTTTGTTTACCTCTTTATTTCGCTCTACTAACCAAACCTAGATCGGCCTGATCTTCATCTTCAACCTCTTGCTCGGCACAGGCGTCCTCGCCATTCCGCACGTTTTCCAAAAGGTGGGCTACCTGGTGGGCAGTACCATCATCGCCGCCCTTGCCGCCGTTTCCTACTTCACCGTCACCTGTCTCCTCGAGGCGATGGCCAACGCTAATTTTATCAAGCGGTTTCAAGCTTTAGTGCATTCTTCCTCATCCTCATCTTCCTCTTCCACATTTGAGGAGGAGATTTCCATAGTCGATAAGGACAATGAGGGTGCCAAGAAACAGAAGAAAAAGAAAGGCTGCCGTGTTCGAAAAGTGAGCGGGAGCTTTGTGAACGCCGCCTTTCAAGCCTCCTCCTGCGATTTTGAGCAAATCGAAGCTCCAAACTCCTCAACTTCATCACCACCACCACCACCGCCACCGCCGCTGACCGCCGACCTCTTTAGCATCGACACCAAATTCGAACTAGGCGAGCTGACGGACCTCTTCCTTCCCCGCCTGCTCTCGAAGTTCTTCTTCCTCTCCATTGCCGTCTACCTCTTCGGCGATCTGCTGATCTTCAACGTGATGATGGCCAAGTCGGCGCGCGAGCTCCTCTGCACTGCACCACGACCAGCCCAGTGCAATCTCACCCACTGGGCGGCGGCAACTCTGAACGAGGATGAGAAGGAGGAGATGTTCCAGAGCCTCCTCAGCGGCGACACCCTCCAAGAAGACCTCCTGCCCTGCTGGGTGAGCAGCGCCCCCGCCGGTTTGACCCGTGGCGGCGTCTACCAGCTGTCGCTGCTCGCCTTTGTCGCCCTCCTCCTGCCGCTGACGTTCGCCGGCCTGAAGAAGACGACGCTGCTTCAGGTGGCCACCATTGTCCTTCGCTGGCTCGGTAAGTTCATCTTGAACCTTTTGATGATTCGTAAGTTCTAAAAACCTCTTCCCCCCCTTCCCAGCATTCATCAGCATGGTCGGCCTGGCCGTGCGAACGATCGTCCTCGACGGCGGCCCCAGGGGCCACCCAGCGGCCATTGACATGCCCTTTGTGCCCACGATGTTTGGCGTCTGTGTCTACGGTAAGTGGCAAAAGTTGTTGTGTTGCTGAAATGTAAACAAACCTTTACTTTTTCTTCTCTTCTCTTTCATGAATCACCGCCAGGTTTCATGGCCCACCACTCGGTGCCCTCCATTCTGACGGCAGTTCGAGAGAAGCGGCGCCTGTTCGGCGGCCTGCAGCTCGTCTACCTCCTCGTGGTCGGCTGCTACCTGCTGATATCCCTCACCGGCGCCTTTGCTTTTGCCCACCTCGAGGACGTCTACACGCTCAACTTTGCCGCCGATGAGTGAG